TGCGTGGGACCAGCTTGGGGCGCCAGTGGCGGGAGGTGACAAAGGAGTGCGAGGCCACCAGCATGCTTGGGGACCTTCATGTGTCCCAGTTGGTGGGGAACGAGGGTGGTGGGAGTCCCCATATCCCCCCTCACCCCTGCAGGATGGAGCCAGGCTGGGATGGGGGGACAGGGGACAAGGGAGGGCAGGAACAGGCAGGGAGGGGGCAGGGTTGGTGCCCGGGCCTGGAGCCGGGGGTCCCCGGGGGTCCATGGGGATGGGGTGACACCAGGCCCCTTTGCACCTGCTAGATCCTCTCTGCTCACTGGGACCAGTTTGGGGCTCCAGTGGCAGGAGGTGATGAAGGGGGATGAGGCCACTGGGATGCTCGGGGATGTTGGTGTGCCCGGCTGGTGGGGAACGAGGGTGGTGGGAGTCCCCATATCCCCCCTCACCCCTGCAGGATGGAGCCAGGCTGGGATGGGGGGACAGGGGACAAGGGAGGGCAGGAACAGGCAGGGAGGGGGCAGGGTTGGTGCCCGGGCCTGGAGCCGGGGGTCCCTGGGGGTCCAGGCTGGGCTCAGCCCCCCCTTCTCGCCCCCCCAGGCCGTCTGCTGCCCCGACCACGTGCACTGCTGCCCCCAGGGCCACACCTGCGACCCCGGCACAGGCAGCTGCCTGCAGGAGGGAGGGGGCCGCCGGCCCTGGCTGCGGAAGACCCCGGCGCTGGCCCGGGGAGGGAACGTGCAGTGTGACGAGGAGACGAGCTGCCCCGACGGGAGCACGTGCTGCCGGCTGAGCTCGGGGGCCTGGGGGTGCTGCCCGCTGGAGGAGGTATGGGGGGCCCTGCCTGCGGGGCCAGGGGGTCCGTGTATGGGGACAGGGACGTGGTGGGGTCCCCAGTGGCGTGGGGCAGTGCAGGGTTGCACCCAGGCGAGCTGGGAGACCTGGGCTGAGACCTGTGGGGCACCAGGGTGTCCCTGTAGCAGGGGACGTGGCTTGAGGGGCCCCGAGTGGCTGGAGCCCAGGCCCTGGGGACATGGGGACGTTCAGGTGGACGCTGCCACCTCCTGTGCCCCGGGACAGACCCAGCCCTGTCCCACGGGATGGGGCAGGTGTCTCCTGTGCCCCCGGTGGGACAATGGCTGATGTCCCCTTGCTCCTTGAAGGACGAGGGCAGAGATCCCCTGTTCCCCTGGGAGGGATGGAGGCAGATGTCCCCTGTGCCTGGGTGGGATGAGGGCCAGTGTCCCCAGTCCCCCAGGACAAATGTGGCCAGCCCAGGACTCCCACCCCTGTGATGTCCCATGGGGATGGGGTGACACCAGGCCCCTTTGCACCTGCTAGATCCTCTCTGCTCACTGGGACCAGTTTGGGGCTCCAGTGGCAGGAGGTGATGAAGGGGGATGAGGCCACTGGGATGCTCGGGGATGTTGGTGTGCCCGGCTGGTGGGGAACGAGGGTGGTGGGAGTCCCCATATCCCCCCTCACCCCTGCAGGATGGAGCCAGGCTGGGATGGGGGGACAGGCTGGCCGGGGGGGCACTGCCGGCCCCCCCCGCCCTGCAGGGACACAAGTGGGGACACAGCTCAGGACCTGGGGGGGGGACACACAGAGTTCTTGTTGTCCCCCCCAAAAGACAGGGAGGTGAATGGCAATGTCATGGTGGGGGGGACGGGGCAGCAGGACCCCATGTGGCAGAGCCTGGTGGCACTGGGAGGGACACGATACCCGGGGGGGGTCCTAAGCACATAGGGACAGCAGTGACCTGGGGCTTGTCCCTCTGCCCCCTCCCCTGGGGACAAGGGACAGGCAGGTTGGGATGGGGGTGGTGGGACGGGAGGACTGGTGGGACAGAAGGGTGGTTCGACGGGGTGACAGTGCTGGGGTGGGACGGTGACAGGGTGGGACAGCGGTGGCAGGATGGTGTGGTGGTGGGACGAGATGGCTGGATGGGATGGTGGTGGGATGACAGTGGTGAGATGAGATGGTGGTGGGATAGGACAGTGACAAGACAAGATGGTGACAGGATGAGGTGGTGGGATGAGGTGGTGGCTGACTGGGATGGCGGTGGGATGGAACGGGGGAGGCAGGACAGCATGGTGGTGGGACAGTGGCAGGACAGGGTGACAGTAGCAGTGCACCCACCACCCCCCAGGGTCCCACAGCTCCCCCCCCCAG